ACCAAAGATGTGTGTAAGTCAAGACTAGTGCTTATCAGTTAGGGAGGGGTGTAGCTTATAACATTTGAAAGACAGATGCAGATATGAGCCTTGAAAGCAATGCAAGAAAAGAAGTGGTTATTGTTCTGGGATTGTGCCTACTCAATAACACTAAATAGCTAATTTGTAGAAAGCTACCCGTCATCTAGAGACAAAAGACTTGGGAAACCGGGTAGGTTGGAAAGAAAAGATAAATCAAGATGAACAAATCTTGAGGTAAATAGCATTAATTAATATGTAATTATGAACTAATAAAATAATAAATAATTCTTGAGTTAAATAATTTGCTAGCCCATGGGGAGCTGGTGGCAAAAGCTGCCTCTCTGCTCCTGAGCTAGTTAATAGGCATCCAAACTGGGGAATACACCCCTTCTCCAGGCTGATGCTAAGGAATCGTCATCCTGAGCTTCTGAGAAAGAAGAAGACTGATGGGACAGTGAATCAGGGAATGACACCGGGATCAATGACACATGAGGTCTGGCAGTCAGCCCACTCACACCTGTAACCTTCACTCTTGAGCAATGCCTTCTGAACAGACAGATGCATACAATGAGTTCCTGGAGACATGTGAATATGCAGGAGAAACTGCAGTCTCACCCAGCGGAGAGAGATTTTTCACTCTAGGGGAAATCAAAGTGAAGAATTATGTGATGATTCTTAGATGAGGTGGACAAAAAATTCACCCTGTATCAGGGCTTGGTTATATGGCTTTTGTTTAGTTGCTATCAGAAGTTATCTCTCACACAATAGGGTTTTGTCTTTTGTGTGGAAATTACCATTCCTTCCAGCCAGTGGGAAGTTACTGGAAGATTGCTCCTCCCTCCTTAAAAGGACTGGTTGAAGAAGAGGATATTTGTAAAGGAGTCTGAAGATTTTAGTGGAGGAAGAGTAACCCCATTGTAACAGATCTTGACTCATTAATTAACAAGGAGAGACTGGAAGGGAACCTTTCTGAGCTTGGCACACCCTATCTGGACTAAACTATTGTAATAGTGTTACTTAGACTGGACAACGCTGAATTTGAGAAATGTACAAATGTCCGACTTTTGAATGATTGTTGCCAAGGTTATAGTGAAAGGTCACATTTCTGTGGACGGGAGTGAGCTGTCTCCTGAGAGGAAGGGATAGTCCTAGTGTCAATCATTCTGGGGAGATATGATTCCTAGGAAGAGAAGTGAGGACATGAGGAGACCCACAGCAGAACAGGGGGAAGGGGAAATGTCCCTGGAGGCCAAGGGTCATTTGGATCTAGAGTTGAGGTTCTCATTGCTGTGTGGAGTAGCATTCCCATGGGATTGAAATTAGCACCAAGTGCAAATTAGGTGCTTGCCATGGGTAAATAGGTGAGAAGGAGGCACATCAGGATTCTGGGATGACTCTGCTAGTGGGCAGCAATGCATGATTTCTAACTGACTTTTGACTTAAACTTTCTATTATCCCCAAGGCCCCAGCAGTCTTTTGAAATGACCAAAAAGTCATGGTTGTTCTCACTAGTGTTCTGGGAAATCTGCAGAGCCTCTAGTCACACTG